AATTCCAGTTCGATTTCTTGTTACTCTTCATGTTGTCGTAAAAATATCTTTCAGTCGCCACCGATTCTTTTATTGCCGAATATAAAAAATATATAATACGATTAAATACCGTTAGTTTTCTTTTTTTTTCGTTGGCAAAAAATGTGGTACCTTCTTTTTGGTATCACTCAGCGGACGTGCCATTTACAGTCATATTTTCGCCATCCCTCGAGTCGATTCGCTTTCTTCTGCAAAAACACATAATATATCTAATGTAAACATTCGCTTGGACGTTGCGTGTACTTTGGACGTTCCAAGAGTAAATTTATAGCATTTATAAAAAAACATGCTCAAAATTATAGACAAATTTCAGGATTATCGCACAAAAACCTTCTCTTTTCTTTCAACAAAGGTCACGCAAAAAAAGGACTGTATAGACCAGGTTGATTGTTATTAATTTTATCGCTTTTTCCTGGCGCTCTGACGACCAACGTAACGATCCTGGAAATATCCAGCAAAAATTGACGCGTCAGGAGTTCCCGTTTGAAAATTGATTTCCCGAGAAACGCAACGAGAACAATCAATGAAATTAGAGCAGTAGAATATCCACTATCTAGAATATCTATAAATTTTCCAATTATAATCATACTATATATATATGTAGTGTATGTAATATAACTATATTCTAATATGAGATTATTTGATATGAGTAAAATCAATTACTTTGGTAAATATTATGTCGAATGTACTAGTCTATACATAATGTAAATAACACATGAATGAACATATGAATGAATTATTTTCGACACAAAATTTAGAGTGGACTTTTTGGAATATTGTTGATGTACTGTGTACGCAAGATTTTGTACAGTGTATATATATATATATATATATATATATATATATACACACAGTAAGCAAGAAATCATTAATACAACGTTGCTACAATAATATTGAAGAACCTGTAATATTGTCAAATATGTAGTGTTTAATATTGCATCAAACATTATTATGAACATACTTTGACCGCGATTTGGAAGTTTCAATAATGTTAAAATAGGATTACCATAACGTTTTAATCGGCAGAAATATTTTTAAGATGTTGCATTGATCTCAAATAAATGTTAAAGTAACATTTGAAAAATAAGTTTTGTAATGTTTTTAAAACGTTTAAACACTCAGAAAAATCATATCACGAAATAACATGTGAAAAATATAAATGCAATATTATTAAAAAATGTTCAAACAATGCACAGTCAACGTCTCTAAACGTTAATTTAATGTTCCTTGTTTATTGGACATATATATACTATATATATTATATATATTATCTGTACTATCGAACTAACTGAAAAAATCAGACGCGCTTTTTCTGATGCAGGAGAAGAATCGTCAGCCTGTTCTCCCGTATCAGCTGACAGTTCTGAGACTGCAAATGCATAAATCCGAATGGATCTCGGATAAGGACGGGAAAGTCGTGAGGAAAACATAAACAACTTGTATGTCAGTATGTAAGTAAACAATATATTTATTGTTATCATTATTACTAAGGCACTTGTTATCAATATAAAAACGTACGTCGCAAAAATTATTGCCAATGAGCATATTCAAATACTGATATTAAACACCTAATTGCTTCTTCTGGTGATATAATCTCAAGTATTATGGACGCGAACGCGCAGCCTAAGTGGGGAGTCTCAATCTAAAAAGAACTCATCGTCATCGTCATCGTCGTCATCGTCATCGTCATCGTCATCGTCATCGTCGTCGTCGTCGTCGTCGTCGTCCTCGTCGTCTTTGCGCACTCGACGCGATCGACGTAGGCGACGAGGATCATTATTATCATAATTATCATATCATTATTATCATAACATTATTATCATTATCAAAGACCTGATCTCGAGGAGGTCCTCCGCTCATGAAGGCACTTCTTTTTTTGTATCTTTTTCCTCTTTTTTTCACGAGTAAGAGCCCGAAGTGTCGCGATGTATTTTTCCCATGAAAAAACGTAACTCTAGACTGAGTTTAGGCTAAAAGCAAGAGATACAGTATGGTAAATATTAATATTATCGTTAAATTGCAATTAAAAATAATACATTAGAGACGCGCATTGACGTTTGTCGACGCACCAACCCCTGGAAGGTACCCCGACGCGATCTCGCCGTCGTCGATCCTCGTCGACGAGGACGAGGCGCCATGATAGTTGTCGACGTCGACGTGTGCACGCGAGAGACCACCACGGAATGAACACGACGGCTCTGAAGTGTCCACACGAGAGCGTGGAATAAGTAAAACTGAAAAAAACAATCGAGTAGGAATAAAAAGAATCCGAGAAACGAAATAAAAAGAAGTCGGATGGTAAAACAAAGCAGAAGGAAATAAAACGCGAGGCGCGTGTCTCCGATTTGGCGTAAAATACATTTAAAAAGCATCTCTCACACGATTCGACAATTTCAAAATCCGATAATCTCAATGTATTATGTAAAACAAGAAAGGAATCGCGGGGAGGATTCATCACGAAAAATCCGCCGTGTTCGGGACGCGTGGACGCGCGCGCTCTTCGCCTTCCAGTGGGTGGCCGCTGTCTCACTTTTCTTCTCGGCGCTAAAGAATATAGACAGGCGACACAAAATACCAAATCAACCTTTACACGATCGCTTCCTCTTCTTACTATCTTAAAATAGAAAAAAAGAAAAAGAAAGAAAAGAACAAAGAGGTCGACGGTTCTGCATTCGCACGCGCGATCATTTGAAAAGGGTGAGGGGAGCAAAAAAAAGAGAGAAAAGGAAAACTAGAACGCGCGACGGTGTGCGAATGAACGAACGTAAGCTTCGCCCTCGCTCCTTCCTCGTCCTTTCCCGATTGCGAGGAAAAGCGGGAGAGCCTGATTATTACCTGCTAAACAAGACTTCCCACGCGATATTAGATCGTACTTTTTAATTAACATACGAAAGTCGGGGAGATTCACGCGACCGTTTCCGGAGTGATCTCTCTCTCTCTCTCTCTCTCTCTCTCTCTCTCTCTCTCTCTC